GGTCTATTTCATTCTAATATATTCCAAGCATATTTAACCATCTTTGGTCTATTAATGACAGTACCTAATTCCTATTTTAGGATATCTGCATCCATTCGTCACAGACAGGAATCCTGGGAGCTGACAACTCTTCGTTATGGCGCCTGGTTTGATTATCCTATTAGTTCAAACCCTCTCCCTTCACTCTCTGTTTCTCAGCTGTTATCCTATTCTCTACCTGTAACCACAAGTGAGAGCCTTCAGACTTTGGGGCCAGGATTCGGCCTTCAGGATTATCCTATTACAGCAAAAGATCTGCCTCAAAGAGCCATATTAACCCTATATCACATAGCTAAATCTCGACGTCAGGCCGAGACAGAAGTTGACATTGATTTATTAGTCGTACTTATAGCAAAAATAGATGAACGTTGTCCAGAAGGTATAAATTTCTCAATTTTTTAAATATTTTCAGTTGAAGAATTCAGTTAATATTAGTTGTGATTTTTTATGTAATGCCTTCAAGATTTTTCATATTCGACATGATCTCGAATACTAAATAAGGGATATATTGCAAAATATCTCAATTTATAGATGAAGGTTGACCTCGTTTTCCAAACTTGGTATTCTTGTCAGGGCGGCTTAGTTGAATGTGCTCGGTCCGAAGTCCTCTGCTGTAGTAGTTATCCTAATTACCAGCATCAGACAATGGACTTGGTACATTCTCAGACGATTTGCCGGCATCTTCAGAGAGTCTTGGCATTCTCCACACCAAGCTACAAACTCGTCAAAGATACAAGTAATTTCAGTCCCTCGGCTACTGTTCTGCCGAAGCGGTTACACTATAACTCCTCTTTCTGTTCTGTCCAATCGATCTACTCCTTTTCCTCTTATCCAATTCCAGCCCAATCACAACTTCTGACTTATTTGCATTTTACGTCAAAATGTGTGCTTTTTTTGTAAAATTTAGTATGGCCTCATCATGAAGACGACTCGTGAAGACAATGCCCAATATCTACAAACATGGTAATCAGAGCCTAGACGCTATGCTCGATAAGGCGGCAATGTGCGTACTTCTTAGGTATTGAGAAATAGCACCTAGAGTAAAACGCTCCCTGGGACTAGAGCCGAGTAAAATCAGTCAACCAGAAGGATAAGAAATGGATCTACGGGACCATCAAGGAGGTCAGGATACGGGGCCCGAGATGGATTTGTCTATCGAAAGAAAGAGGGCCAAGGTGAATAGCAGGTGTGATGGGTCCACACCTAATTTGAGAAAAAAGGTCGCACATTTTGACGAGTGAAATGTAATCAAATTAGAAGTTGTGGTAGAGCGGGAATAGATAAGAGGTTAAGGAATAGATAGATGGGTCGTGATAGTGATAGTCTAACCGCTTTGGCAGAACGTTGGTCGTAGGATTGGCATCTCTTTTCTCTGACGAGTTTGTAGCTTTGAGAGGAGAATGACAAGACTCACTGATGATAAAGGTGAATTGTCTGATAATGTACTAAGTCCACGGTCGGAACTTGGGAATTATATTAACTACTTCAGCAGAGGACTTCGGACAAGGTGTGCTCAACTGTGTCGATCCAACAATAATACCAAGTTGTGGAAACGAGGTCAAACCACTTCTATAAATCGCAAGGAGACTGCGACCATTACGAGCGCCACAGTCTCATATATGTTCTATATATTCATTTTTCAGTGATAAGTACATCCTTCGTTTTAACTCAGGATTTTATTATGGTTTACTTTGTTTGGCTTATATTCTCTTAAAGTAATCATTATATGTGTATAATTACACAATTGACTGTTCCTTCATATTATATTATACATTTTTTGCAACGGAACGATGTTATCCGACACATAAGGCTTGCATTTTAATCTTCAAATAAAAAATAGATTTATGTGAAACAACTTTTTTTTATTCTCAAAAGGCCTGATATATTATATACCTATGATTAGAGTATATTTGTAGCACCATTGGTTTATTTTCGAAATTGCTTCTAGCGTTCATTCATTTTTATAATATCCTATTTAAAATAAGCCCTATCAGTTTGTAAATTACTACAAATATATTTATGATATTGAGATTGTTTTTGTACTTAGAATTGTATTTTTAAGCAATTATACCTTCGCACAGGAGATCTCCTATTTACACCTAATTTTCTTGAGAAAAAGCATGAATAGTTAGCGACTGTCACTTCTAAATTGCCATTTGCTCCTTTGGGATTTTATATTATTTTACAAGTAGGTTGGTCTCGTTTTCGCGACTTCGTCTTGTTGTCAGGGTGACATAGTTGGACGCATTTTTTCCGAAGTCCCCTGTCATATTAGTTATCATAATTCCTAGCTTCAGATCATTGACTTGGTATATTCTCATACGTTTTGCCGGCATCGTAGTTGTCGTCATTAGTGAGTAGGCATTCTCAGTACAAAGCTACAACTACGGTGCCGGCGAAGCGCCTGAGAATTTACCAAGTTAATTGCCCTACGCTAGGAATTAGATAATTACTATGGCAGAGGACTTCGGACAAGATGAGTCCAATTAATTCGCCTTGACAGCAAGACCAAATTGCGATCACTAAGTCAACACACTTCTTTAAATTGAAAGGAAACTCCGATCATACCGAGGGCCGCATCATTTTGGTCTTTATATTTTTAATTATATTAATTTTTGTTGGGATAGGCAAACTGTTGTCTTTTACTCATCTACAATTATTATTAAAATTGTACTTATTTTAATTTTCCTCTGCCTCATTTTGCGAATAGATGATTTACAATATGTTTTCTGAGTGTGATTTTTATGTCTGGATATGTTTGCATTTATATTTAAATTGTTTGTCATTATATATACTTTCCACAGGTGCAATCCTCGTCTTCCTGCCATCATATGAAGAAATTATATTACTCAGAGAAATTTTAATAGACCCTGAACTTTCTCCTTGGCGTGACTTAAGGTTGGTTACTCTACTGTCATTTATGTAGCACTCTCAAGCTTTAGGATAATATTAGTTTTGTCTTTTATATATTTTTCATGCCTAAGTTAGTTTGTTTTTTATTTATTCTATATTGAAGTTATTTTAATTAAAAATCGGGGTTTACTAACTAATCATGCCAATTATTATCTTTAAGGGTTTAACTTAAAATGAGCAAGAATTGTCGGTTAAATGCAGGCCAAATGAATCTCGTATTAAGAGATTTATGATCGAGTGCAGTCCTCAGTTATAATAGGCAACTTAAGAGCGAGCAAAGATGTTTGATCAGCATTTATTTGCTTGTATATGAATTACCTTTTGAGACTTATACATTGAACATTTATAATTTATTTTGGCAGAATTCGATGGTGTTTATCTAACTGTGATAATCCCTGTTGTACTCAAGACTTTTCATTTCATTGGACAAAATATTATACTTACTGATTCATGCTAAGAGGTTTCAGAAGACTATTTTGCTTTCATTTTATTTATATCAAGATTGTTATTCAGCTTATTCTTTTCCACTTAATTTGTTATGTTTTATGGTATTAAAGATTATTTGATAACCCTAGTTGGATTACAATTTTTAAATGTAAATTGCATTTTAAACAGGTTTTGCATTTGATACCTAATGCACGTCTAAATTTGTTTTTTAGCAACCATCTGGTTTATATATTGCATTCGAAAATGGTCGTTGCCGACCTCAAGCGAGTTTTTATTTCAACCCCATGCGGCGTCAGAAAAATAGTAAGATTTCTAAATATATATTGCTATAACTAAATATTTATGAATATTTATTTGCAACCTTAGCAAAATCTGATGATAATTTACTTTTTAATAAAAATCGAATTAAAAATATTCAATGCCCTTCAACTGCAATCTGTTTGGAGCTTATTTTAGCGTTGTGAGCCTTGTATGTAAGAAACAGATCAAGAACTTTAGTAAACCTAGCTTTATTTTGATCTTATGAACAAGAACAGTTGAATTTTCTAAAGATAAACGAGTTGAAGTCATCTTTACGGTTTAGAGGTCTTATCGAAACCTTCTTCGGGATGTAAACAAAATCGTCAGGTGGAAACATTAAGTAAAGTGATTCGAAAACCGATACCACCAAAAGACGACTACAGATTCCTTTTAACCAGCAGTCATTTCGCCTTGCTGGAACCTTTATGATGTTCTTCTAATTCAATCTTCAATTTTAGTGAAAACCAGCTAAGCTTTTGGTTAGATGTGGGTTTATCTGGTTTTCATAACTTGATCGTGTTTTCAGGACGATTACTTGTTCGAAGACCACTACCATAATTCTGGGTATAGAAGCGGGGTCTTGGTATATTCTCAGACGTTTCGCCGGCACTGAGTCTTACTATTCTCAGGACCAAGATATAAATGACCTGAGGTCATTCTCTTAACCATTGCTTATGTGGTATCTGTATGACTACTTTGGTTTATTAACTAGATTGAGGAAAAAAGATAGTTAAAAATGGAAGTAGAGTGGGGGCTTTATCTGTCCTTGCTATTGAAGTCATTCTCACTAATCGGACATTCAAAAGAAAATTGTTCAAGAAAAAGCCATATGCCGAAGTAATACTTAATATTTATTGGAAAATATGAAGACCAAGATGGCGTGGCCTTTTAGGTGGTCGCAGTCTTCTCTTGTTGTTTATAAGTTGTCTGACCCTGTTTTCGCAACTGTGTCATATTGGTAGGATGACTTACAGGAACGAATCTAGTCCGAAGTCCATTGTATGCATGATAATTTCCAAAGTAGGACCGTGGACGTGGTACATTTCCAGACGTTTCGCCGGCAACGTAGTCGGCATCGTCAGTGAGTCTTGCCACTAGCAACATACTACAACGTTTCAGAGACAAGTGAATTCGATCCTTTGCCAAGATGTGTACTAAACAGTTGTGGTATCTCTCTTGTCCTGAGCTATTCATCTCTTCTATATCATCGTATCACGCCTTCACTGCCACAATTCTTTTCCTTCTTATTTAAATATAGTGTAGTGTGCCCTTTCGAGCGGCTTTCATTAGAACCCTCTACTCTCCATGCAGGCGTTCTAACCTCACTTCTACCATATTATTACACAGTCCTTTTACCCTAGGTCTTTTTAGAGTCTCCCTCTTGCCCCGTAGGACCCGTCTGCTATCCCTTTCGTTCAAGTATTTCATTCGACCCCTGCCACCCCTTATGTGCTACTTGCGTTATTATCCATCCTCTGCGACTGGGTTATTAATTCGAGGCTAAAGCATCGGAGTAAGTCTCATAGTCAAGCCTTTGCTACATGAACCACGGCTATGGCAAGCAAACCTACTGTCAGCCAACTAGCTCCAGTATCCACCGCGTTTATTCTGTTTTTATTCCTAATATCAAGTCCATGACTATGCCCTAGTCTCTTGTGTGCCAACCCACAAATT